TAAATCGCATCATATGACCCCTTAATGCATCCCTGTTGAATAAAAGTAGTAATTTATTTTAATTAGTGTAGTCAATTAATGTTGACAAATGGAACCTTATAATAAAGTGTTAGCAGTTTTACCCCACACTTTTGAATGGTGGTGTACATTTAAAAAGAAAAACTCACTTGCGAAGAGGCAACAGTGGACAATCGCAGACCTGTGGATTCTCTGCCAAGTTTATGACCTCGAGTCCTGTGAGTGGCCTCAAGTCCGGCAGCTCCTCAAGCTGGTTTCCTTCAAGAAACAGACTTCTCAGACCAGACCCCAATCTTGCTAGAGAATCTTTAGAGACCTTACCTTTGTCCTTACCTTTTCTAAACCCATATGATTAAGGTAAAGGTGTTTAAGTGTGGCAGCAACTGGCTGAAAAACCCCTGCTCCAATCCAACGATTAGGGTTATGGGAGAGATTAAGCTCTGCTAGGCTGCTGGCTTTAGAAAGGGCCTCACTTGGAACCTCCTTCAGTTTGTTGCTGCCTAGATGAAGAGTATCCAAGTCAGGTGCAGGATCAAAGGCCCTGGGAGCAACTGCTGTGATGGCGTTGGAAGTGAGATAGAGGCCCCTCAGTTTCTCAGAGCCTGTCAGGAGCCCTGCTTCCAGTTTAGCGATAGCATTATTCTCCATGTGCAGAGCCAGCAGACCAGGCACCAGCTTGAATGCTCCTTTGGGGAACTGGGTGAAACGATTCTTCTCCAGATATAGGTAAGTGAGATGGGGCAACCCCTTGAATGTCTCAGGACTCAATGAAGTGAGGTAATTTTCTGAGAGGTAGAGGTAGACCAGACTCTTCATACCAATGAAAGCACCATCTTCGACCTCATGGATCTTGCAGTGCTGCAAGTGAAGGGAAACCACTTCCGCAGTGCCTGGGAAACTGTTTGCAGGGATGTAGTGGAAATGATTGTCCTGCAAGTCCAACAGGCGCGTGTCTGGTGAAAAACCAGGAGGGATCTTGGTGAGGCCTTTGTTCTCACAAGATGAGTGGTGGTTCTCAGCCTGCAAAATGTATGTGGGTCAATGACAATATCAGTATTATTATTGTTGTTTTAGTTTTAATGATTATAACCCTTCATAGAATTCTAGATAAAGAAAACTTTTTTGTTAAAATTGTTTAAAAGATTTGAAACATGAAAATTTAACAGAAAAAATGTACACACTGTTAATGTTTGTGAAAAATACCATTTTCAAAAATGTCCTGTGGTGTAAACATGAAGTAGAAAGTAATAACACATTTTCCTTACCTTGAGTACACATCTTAATCGTTATTTTCCAAGGTAAAAAGTTGATTATTATTATTATTTTTTACAAATATCATAAATTATTAGGTTTTAGGGGAGCTGTACACAACATGCCTTATGAGAATGGTCAGATTATCTCATATAATAATAATTCATCATCATCATTATATGCCAAACTACTTAATAAAATAAAACTGCTCCTCGTTTATGATGTTCGGTAGTCATTGTATGTGTGAATTGCATTTTTAACGTTTAACTTTTTTTTTTTTTTTACATTTTTTGGAAAAATGGAGTGTCTTGTCACTGACCTATGTAAAGACTTTTCAGTCACTCTATTTTTGCATCAAGTCAAGTCAAGTCACCTTTATTTATATAGCGCTTTTAACAATACAGATTGTGTCAAAGCAACTGAACAGCATTAATTAGGAACAGTAAGTTTTCACTCACCTCACACTGACAGTTGGCTGGGCGTTTGACTTTATCTGGGGGTGGGGTTGTGGGCAGTGTTGGCAGTCTGCTCAGCTCCTCCAGCTCGGCCTTCAGCATGGCCTCCTGGCTCTGACAGCGCAAATCAGCGGGCTGTACCGCCTCCAGATTCTCACCGGACAGATGTGCAGGACCTCCACACGTACCACCCAAGCGAGCATGCTCCCGTTTCGCCCACTCACGCAGAGGCCGCATGTAGCAGCTGCAGTAGATGGCCGGGGTTGCCTGCCAGATTGAGGCGAGTCAGTTTGGGAGAGCCGGGGGCCATTGGCTGCAGGACACGCAGCTGGTTATGGCGTAAGTCCAGATGAGTGAGACGAGGAGAAAGCAGGATAGCTGCGTTTGAAAAATCCTGCAGGGAGTTATGATCCAAGAAGAGGTGAGTGAGTTTGGCCATAGATACAGACTCTTCTCCCAGGTAGGTCATGGGGTTGTAGCTTAGCTCTAAGCGAGTTACTTCTGGAAGTCTGGAAAGAGTGAAAGAAAACATGAGTAAAAATGAGAGCATACATGCATATATGTTCTGCTTTTAAAATATGTTCTACTTTATTCGTTAATGCTTTTAAAGATGAAATAAACGTTTCCTCCTTTCATTTGAAAGCTGCTTGGGAAGTAGACCTAGGAATTCAGATTACAGAGACTGACTGGTATAAATGCCTTTCATCGGTTTACTCATGTTCTATAAATTCGAGACATCAACTTATTCAATACAAGGTTTTACACAGACTTCACTATTCTAAAACAAAGCTCAGCAAATTCTATCCTTCCGTCTCCCCCATATGTGACAAATGTAAAGTTGCTGAGGGTACCCTGGCACATCTTTTCTGGTTCTGTGTACAAATACAGAGTTTTTGGATAGAAATATTCCAGTTCTTTGCCAAGGTCCATAACTGAGTTTTACTCCCCGACCCAATGATAGCAATTTTTGGTTGGTCAGATTTGCTTGAGTCTCTCAGCCCGAAGGTACAGTTACCTGTCCAATATGGTATGATTGTAGTTAAGAAAGTTATTCTGCTTTTGTGGAAGAAAAATGTTAGGCCTCTCTTTTCTGACTGGTTAACTGGACTTACTTCTACTTTACATCTGGAAAGAATCAGATACACCATTTCTGGGAACTCTGAAAAATTTGACAAAATGTGGGAACCAGTTTTTACTTTTCTGATGAGCGACAAGGACTAATGATGTATTCATTTATTTTAGATGGGTAGCTTATAAGCAGATTGTTGTTATATGAAGGGTCTGTTTGTCCTTCATGTCTGCAAAACCATAATAAAAAATAACAATTAAAATAAGTTCTCAAATCATTTCTAAAACTGTTTATACTGAAAATATATATTTTATCTGAAAACGATATGCACCCTATTTACTTAATGCCTTAACTTATTGTGTACAATATGTTATTATTATAAAATATATTTTAGCAAAATAAATATAGATAAAAAATAAATGTGAAAATAAATATTTTTTTAATTTTTATTTTTTAAATATTTTGTATAAAATAAGTAAATCGTTGGACATTGGCCCACATACATCCAACTGTCAATACATTTTTTAACTAACATTTTTTAAAACAGTAAGGTTCAATTTCTTAACATTAGTTAATGCATTAAGTATCATGAACTAATAAATAACAAATACAATTTTTACAGCATTTATTAATGTCAGTGGTTCATGTCAAGTCCATGTCCTAAATTGTCCTCAACAACATGACCTTTTTTGTGATTTACTGGATAATTAAATTTTTTTTTATTTTATGCATTTAGCAGACGCTTTTATCCAAAGTGACTTACAGTGCATTCAGGCTATACATTTTTTACCAGTATGTATAGGATAAAGATTAAGAATATTTAAAATATTATATATTTTAAACTCGCTATTTCTATCCAATTAAATATTTTAGAGCTTAGCATAACTAGAAAAAATTATATATTTATTATGAAAATGCCCATGGAGTTTTTTTTTTTTTTTTTTTTTTTTTTTTTGGGTTTTTTTTTATTTTTTTTTTTTTGAGATTTTTTTTAATTTATATGATTTTTTCAAGTCTAGAAATCACACTTTAAAATGAGTCTTCCTCAATTTTTTCAAAACCATAGGAATTTTAGTAAAAATATTTGAGTGGGTAAATTAAAATAAGAAATATCTTGGTTGTTTTTAACTTATTTTAAGACATCCTGATGCCCCCTATGTGGACCTGGCCACCTGGTTAAGAACCAATGATCCACTGAGGTTATTGTTAATTTATAAATATTGTCATTAAGTGTTTGTGTATAGTACATAAACTTGTTAATTTATCCAACTTAAATTATATATTTTAAAAAATGCCTATGTACAATTAATAAATACTGTAAAATTGTAGTTCATTGTTTGTTCAGGACACCTAATGCAATAACTTGTATTAAACCTAGAATGTTTCTTTAAGCTCACCCTGTCATTGTCTCAGTGGGAAAAAACCTTTTATATATTTGATGACAGGTTTTGTCATCTGTGTGACTACCTGCCCCTGCTAGGACATTAATTTATTTTACAATTTGAGAAACGTTTCTGCCGTTAGACGCAATTTAAGTCACTTAACATACTAAATGTACAATAATATTTTACATTTTAAAGGGCATAAAACATTCATTATATTAATCTGAAAACAAAAAAATCTTGAAATGTTTCCCACCTTATTTGTAGGAATAAATATGAGATTCTCTCATGGTCTTCATTCGGTAATATTCGTCAAATGAATTTCAGAGAGGCCTCAGGAACCGCTCCGTCATAAACAAAATACTTACAAAATAAAATTTCAAACAAAATCATTACATAAAAACAATTTTAGTTTCTTTAAAGAAGAACACTACATCTTAAGGGCACCGCAACCGAAGCAGCCGAAAAAGTGATTTTCCAAATGCGAAATATGTTTGTTGAGTCCAAAGACACTTCAGACCGCAACTCTGCTGCACACAAAGACGCGCACTGTTCTCAGTCTGGCCATCAGTTACACATAAATAAACCACTGGAGGAGAGAAGGTTCCCTGCAAGTGGTTCAACACCTATATTCTTTTCAGCGTCAAGATACTGAGAAAATCGTCCGATAGGTTTGCTGACCTGCTCAAGGCTCAGTGCAATTGGGGCATCAGGCGTTTAGTGAAAGCTTAATGGAGTGAGAGTTGACCTACGGGACTTTATAACTGCATGCAAAACGGCTTTACATTTGAAAATGGTGAACATTACACTGAAACACAGACATGATTTTTCCCCCAAGAAAAAAAAACTTTAATATCAACAAAATGGAATGTTGCAAATATAACAATATTCAGTGCTTACCAGTTGTAGTATTAAATATACTAATGTCCAAACATTTTTTCCACTTCACTTTCACTGCCTTCTTCATTTCAATCCAAAGACTCTTAGGTGTTTATTTTACTTTATTTTGGTTTTAATTCCACCACCAATCTTTTCACAATATGGCACATCTAATCAAAGGCATGAGAGTGAACATGCTAATGTGGCTCCATGCCAATGTGACAGTTTAAGTAACAACTGTTCAGAAATATCAGTTATAACATTACAATCATTTAAGGTTTAAGCGATAATTAAGCCCTAATTATCATCCAGTGCATTTTTCCTATTATCCCTTTTCATGTATAAAAATAGAAGCAATATTTCTAAAAAGAGATGAAAGAACACAACACTCTTATTCAAATCTAACTGTCTACAGTTCATCTGTAAGGAAATTCAGTTTGGGTTAGTTGTCATGAGGCACTATCATCAATGTACTTTGCAGTTGTCTGAAATCTGCATGCCAAAAAGGATCCAGAATTGACTGAACTTATATAAACTAGATCAATAGTTTAGATAGTTTCATGTATCCTGTCAAGTTTTTGTCTTTTTTGACCCGTCATAAGTAATTTCAGTGGCTCTGTAATGAGGGTTTAGAATTAAGCAGTGGTCCTTTTCACCAATGTGGTCTTGAGAGCATCTCTGGCACTGCAGCAGGATTCTAAGACTTTGCCATTTCTGTAAAACAAACAAATACATAAATATGTACTCAATATTGTTATAGTACAAGAAAAATAGGTTAAACAAAACTGTCACTAAGGTTCTAATATGAACACTTTAGGTATTAAAGGTGACCTATTATGCAAAAATCTCTTTTATAAGGAACACAGTTGTGTGGCCGCAGTGTGTGAAAACAACCAGCCTATAATGGTAAAAAAATCCACCCACTCATTTGATTATAATCCCAATAAATCATAAACAGTCTCTCCAAACGAGCGGTTCCAGATTTCTTCCTATATACACGTCATACTAGGGAAAGTCCTGCCCATTTGTGATGCGCTCTGCCCCATTAGCATAGACACAGCCCTGAGTGAGAAGCAGTAGTCCGCCATTACTGTTTTCTTGCTGTAGCTGCTGGAGATACAATGTCAGCGCCTAAGAGGCATTGCAAATGTCGTGTGTTGGGATGCACCAATGAACATAGGAGTCTCCATAGACCGCTGAGGACACGGTGGTTAAATTTCATTTTCTAAGGAAATGTCCCAGAAAAAAAACGGAAAAGTTTGTGCTAATCATTTTACGCCGGACTGCCTTACAAACGAGGGTCAGTTCAGCACTGGAGTTGGGCAAAGTTTGCTTCTGAAAGAGGAATCGATACCAACGCTTCATGCGCGAACATCAGCTCCAGACCAAGTAAGCATCACGCGTCATATTTTGTTTTCCAAAAGAGCTTCTTGGCTCTCTGTAAGGCTAATGTTGCTAAAGCTACCATGGCCTCTGCCGGTTTTCACTCATGCTGCCTTCACGTGCTACCAGAATGATCGTAAATAGGAATGTGGTAGTTAAAAATTGCATATGGAAGCAATGTGAAGTCGAACGCTTGAATTTGTCGAGCTCATAATCACAAGTGGGACTTATAAAGGCACCATGAGACCAGCTATGTTGTTATTTTTATCGCGCCATGCTCCCCGTCTGTGTAATTAATAAACACGCATTCAGTGTTCGAACTACACCGTGAACTTTGGGGGAGCCCACTTGTTTTTTTTTTTATAACGGGGGGCGGGGGGTATGCACTACTTGCTTTATGCAAGCACTATATAGGATAAATCACTATATAGGATTTACCCTATTATACTTTATCGACACGAATTGATTGGTGAAGCAACAAACAGCCACCCACAAATAGTCCATAAACAAAGCATCAGGCTGTCTTTGAGTTCACATGAACAACGGTTAAAGAGTCCAACATTTATATGTTTTCTACGAATCTTTGAGTTAACATGTACTAAACATGAGTGGAATTTGCACGACATCAGAGACTTATTTTACATCTTGTAAAAAGGAGCATAATAGGTCACCTTTAATATAGGTTTTAATATATTAATACTAATTAGGTGTAAAAAGGTACAAAGTTGTACTTTTTAGCTATTGTACCTTAAAGGGGTCATATGATGCTGCTAAAAAGAACATTATTTGGTGTAATGAAATGTGTTTATGC